TCTGAAATTAGCAACATTTCTGTAGAGCAAACATTTCTCTACAAAACAACATATAGATATTTTTAAAGTTGCTTGGTTTCTTTAAAAAATATTTTTGATAGAATGATTTATTTCAGAAAATTTCACAGTTTGTTGTTGCAAAAATACAAACCATTTTTTGAAAAATATGAAAAAAAGCTGTTAAAAAACTGTTGCATGCCTAGTTGATGATTATTAAAGAACCTTTTATATACTAATATCTGTTTTCGTAGCAACTCTAAATCATACTTTGCGTGCACATTTGCTGTTATCATAGATTAAGTTGTACGAATTCGACTCCAATGATCGTGTATAATCAATCCATTTCGAAATGTGAAGATCATTTATATTTATGAATAAAATTTTTCAAAGAAATAAAAGTGTTTATTCTCAATTTGAAGAATATTATCAACAATTCGTCGTTTTCCAGTCACATCATATATTCATTTAAGTCGTAGTCACCATTGTATTCCCGTAGCAGCTGTTGTCGATTATTACCAGTAATTTTGTATACGTATTTACAAAAAAAGAAGATATTAATATAAAAAGAAATAATATTATAGTCAAATGTTTTCATGTACCAGAATATTCAGAAGTCATCATTATTGCGAACAACGTCAAATCTAGTGATTCTTATCAGTTTGTTCAGTTGTTAAGATGTGCTTAAAAAATTTTTCTCTTCCAAAAACTAATTTTTTCCATCTTTGTAGCATGACATAAAACGAATGATAAAGAAGTGGATCAAAAATCTGATGATAATTCAAGTAATGATGACGAACACTGATGATGGTCGACAAAAATGAAAACGATAATGAAACAAGTAACAACCTTTCTTGCACAATTTCGCTACTTGAACCAAAGAGCAGTTTAATTCGTTTTATTGCTTATTGAACATATTTCTTCTGTGCTTTCTGTTAAAATATAAATTATCTTCATACTTCTTTCCAAGGAGAAGAATAGAATTATTTCTACTTTTGACATAAAGTTTATAGTTACTCCTGTCTTTTTCTAGACAATTCTCAATTAATATCTGTTTTAACAATTTTATTGTTACAACAGCACGTAAACCGTACACAACAGAAAAATATAGTTTTCATCCATCAACATCATGTCGAGAATTAAAATAAAAGACCGTTAGCTTATGTAGAAAAATGTCTCAGAAGCTTTGGTCTGATAGCTGCTGTTATCATTTGTAAAATAATTATTGGTTTTTATGAAATATTTTCGTATATTTTTTTATGAAAAAATGATCAAAAAAGTTCAAAAACATTACAGACTAACATTATTTACAATAACAGATGTCATGTCGTCAAATATTTTAAAAATAATCTTGGGAAAGGCAAGAAAATATTTTTTATAATTATACATTTTCGCGTCTCCATTATCAAAATTAGCTTGACACATAGTGTCGGGACCAGCAATACAGTATTAGATGGTGTCAATACACAAAGTGCAAAATAACGTTTCATTTGACTTAAATCACACACCATCATAAAGTTGTTAATGTAGCATAATAAATGTTTCGTGTATTTACCATCAATTTGAATATTTAGAAATAAAAACCGAGGAAAGGGTAAGATAATACTTTTAAACACTACTACGTTAAGGCTATTATTTTGCTGTTTTTAGAATAATGGACAAATATATGAAGATTTATTACATTCATAAGTATAAACAAATATCAGTCAACAATCAACATTATAAGTGATTAGCAGACATATTTTATACCATTACAATAATAGCATGAATGTCAACTGACCGTATTAACTCACTGCTTTTCTTCGTATTGCAGTTTATGCACTTACAAAACGTCTAATCCATTTCTCACAACCAGTTTTCTTTTTTTTGTATTGGTTCATTCATATTATTAATGCAATGGTATAAACTGACTGGTAGTGGAAAAGATAAATAGTGGAGAATATGTTTATAAAGGAACATCTTCGAGCAACATTATCGGTTAAAGAAACGTATAAGTGTGATACTGGAAATAGAAATGAGAATTTTGGCCGTAATGTTGTATCAAGTCAAAATGGAATTCAAAAGTAAATGACTGTCAAGAAACATGGCTGATGGCGGCACCACTGTTTTAAGGAACAAAATAAATTTTAGTTACACCTGAATCAGATATAACTGAGATTTATTTTGTCACGAGAGCTCGAGCGCGCGCTCGGTTCGTTCCATACATCCATCTGATCATGTTTCAGTTGATGTGAGTTTTAGGAATGCTTTAAACAAAATACTAGAGATGCACGGAGGACTCATTTTCCGAACTCTTTCCGTCTCACGCCGTCCTCATCCGATACTTGTTGAACAAATACGTCAAAAAAAACGTCACTTTTCAAAATTGCTTCATGTATCAGTGATTTTCCTCTTCCATGTCGGTATTCATAAACTTTTCTTCTCACCAAGCATCATGTTTTGTTTCATAATAGTTAAAGTAATAGAGACAAAAATAAATAGAAAATCTTATATTTATTTTTCTACAAAACGAACAATGTAGTGTTTGTGTGTTTACATTAGACCATCGCTGAGTAATGATTATGCTTGCAACTTAAAAAAAAAGTTCGGTCTCGCCGTGTCCGAAATAAAAATTAAATTTCCGCTGCGAGATCCGATCAGGGTTCCCTCACGGTTTTTCGGGTTTCCATCTCCCGTGCATCTCTACAAATATATTCACTTCAGCGCAATGACGACAATCCGCAGAATGCTCAAGTAAATTCACAATTCTTCAATAGTTCACCCTAATAAAAAAAATAATGAAAAACTGGTAGGTAATACGCATTAGCATGCTCCCTGACTACTTGAAATATTCTCCTGACAAAAGATGAAGTAGCAGTCACAATATTATGCTCTTATTCATACAAATGTTAAAGTGCGAATTATTGTGAAAATAAATTAAAATATAACTTTTTCTCTAAAAAACAGCGTCCAATGGTTGATTGCTATTAAATACGAAACAAACGAACAAATATTATGTCACTCTTATACTTTAATTTGAACTCAGTCCGAGGTATCAGTGTTTCTATATTATTTATAACTTTTTTGGTAATAGCAGTAATATTAGATGATGATGTTAACGGTGTTGTTGTAGTTTACATTAGGAATGCACCCATTACGATTATTGATTAATAATCGTGATCGAAATTAACTGATCGAACGGTTAATTACTGATTCGTCACTTAAAGAGCCTCGATTTTCGCCTCTGCCATACGCATCTCCCGATACCACGGATAAAAATCTTCGAAGTAGAACTTGCGGAATCAAACATTTGTGAAAAAATTTGCGAAATTTCTTTTTTATCGAAAATATCCGGTTTTGCGCGCATTCGGATGTGCTGACAGACATGAATTAATGACATTGCTCTGATTTCGTGTCAGGATCAGTAGAATGACCATATCACAATGATTATGAAACTGATTGATTGATCGAACTCAAGTAACTAGTAGTATATAATATTTATTTCAATGATATATGTGAAAGAGACGTTTTTTCTCGTACGAAATGTTGAATCTCACGAGGCAACCGCCCTAGGTGCGGAACTCCGATTTCCTTCATTCATACCTCGTTTTATAGAACACATCGAGCTGGTAAAAAGCCTAAAAGGATTTTTGCTCATGGCTCTTGAAGTCTCGGTTTTCTGCAAAACCAGTTTTTGAGAAATTCGAAAAAATAATCAAAACATTTCATAATGAGGCATAATTGTAGCCCGTATATTTCTGATTAAAATGAGACGTCTTCCAGCTCTACACGACCTTCTTTTACAAAGTTATAGAATTTACAAGAAAAGTCTTAAATTAATTTCTTCTTATTTCTGTAGCTTCGGGTCAGGAGTTGACAATGAACATTTAGGGCTTTTCTTGTAAATTCTGTAACTTTATAAAGAAAGGTCGTGTAGAGCTGGGAGACGTCTCATTTTAATCAGAAATATGCGGGCTACAATTATGCCTCATTATGAAAGGTTTTGATTATTTTTTAGAATTTCTCAAAAACTGATTTGGCCTCTATAAAACGAGGTATGAATGAAGGAAATCGGAGTTGAGCACCTCCCTCGTCATAGTCTCGATGCTGATTGCCTCTCATGTTTGTAGGGTGAAACTTTCTATCAATTGCTATTTTATTAAGAATACGCCATCCTCCTTTTCTCACTTCGTCAGCAAATGTGAGGCAAAAATCTATTTGAGTTTATACTCAATTGTTTTGTCACTGACATATTCACTTTCCAGTAGCAGAATGTGCATTTGTAAATACATTTGCATTAATCTCAATTGTGTATATTTTTCAAATAGTTCTGGAATAACTGTTTGCGCTTTGTTTATGAAGTTGCGTAAAAAAATATTCGCACAATCAATGATTATTTGAATTTATAACAGACTTGAAAGTTGATCGCGTACTAATTGAGGTATATCACTTCCATTTCCAGAAGGGCACAATTGATTTTGAAACTAGAACATGGTTCTTTTACTATAGATACAATATGAGAAAAACAACTGATGTTTTCATCGAATCGAACGATTGAAAATCGTACCAGTAGAGACTCATATAGATCAATTCGACATACATTTTTGGGTATCAGTGTGGGTTTTGCCGGATGTTTATTTCTAAAAATGCCTAAAAAGCCCAACCATTGTTTCAGGGTGCTGCTATACTCACCGAGTTCTGTCGATTGTTTATCTCAGCTTCTGATTTGTGGAAGTTTTGGGTGTCAGCAGGTGTTCATTTCTCTTTTAGAAATATCCTAAACAAGCTACAGAGACATACCAGTACTACTTTGTGCATTTTGATTTTCTTTTTTCTGTTCTAATTATGCTATTTCTATAACAACAAAATGGAGAGATTATTTTCTTTGTATATAAATCCCAAATAAATTTGAAACAAACAAGTCTAATCATGAAATGAAAAACTGATGAAAGTCTGTTCGTCTATGAAACTACACTTTTTCAATCAACCACTTAAACCACCACATTTTTCTCATATATTCAGTATTATTGAACAGTTCCATTAGAAATTTTGTCTTGAATAACGGCTACAATTCGACATTGTGCTCCAGTCCCCTTTTCTATTTTAATGGGTAATACGTGTAAAATAAAATACGCTGTTGGTTGAGATAATTCTTTTAAAACAGTGCCTAATGATGCAACATTTTCTAATCCATAAATATTATTTTTTAATAATATTTGATGTACATCGAATTGTTTTGATTGACCAGCATCAATTGATAATGTATCGATACCAACACCCACTAATTTTTGATGATATTTCTTTACAAGGTAATCAGCCGCTTTAACACTAAGACCAGGAAATTGCAGACCATCTGGACTATTGTCGTTCGAAATACGACCGCTATACATTGATTGATTCGAATAATATACATCCCATCCCGTATAAAATAAAATAATAAAATATTTATTCAAATTAATTGGTTCATATTGTTTAATATCTTCAACTGTTATTTCATAATTTTTATTTTGTTTACATTGTTTTCTAACATCAATAATTAAACTATCAATAGATATTAAACGTTCAATAGGTATCTGATCAATTGTCCATGATGTATTTGAAAAATGATATGGTGCGTCAAGATGAGTACCAATATGTTCTGATGTTTGAAATGTGTTGGATGCGTAAAAATAATTACCATTTACCCATGTTGCTGTTTGTTCAGTAAAATTAAAACGTGTTTGAGTTGGAAAATACGAAGTTTTATTTGAGAGTGTATGCGTTAAATCGACATATAATGCACACGAAGAATATTCAATAGATAGAAGAAGGAGAGCAGCGAAATGTTTCATGATTGAACTAGAAAAGTATCTATGCACGTAGAATACTTTAATACTTTAATATCATCCTCTGCTCTTCTCTGTTTTTCATTCCATTTCAACGACTGAAAAACAAAATATACGTCCGAGTTTGTTCATGTCAGTCTGTCGCTTTATGGGTTGATTACACGCACATTCGAAAAGTAAAATATAGATGATCCTTTCTTGTGATAATCGTGTTTTTCGCCTTATACTATTTTCAGTTTATCACTTCATTCTAGATGTTTTCGTCAGACGTGTACGCACTTTTACATATAACAATTTGTAAAATACACATATATTCAAACAGATATTCACCTGATTTCAAAAATAAATCACTTTGTTTACATATGAATATGTTGTGATAATGGAATTTCTTGTGCATATTAGCATGGAATAGTAGAAACAGAATCGGATCAAAAACATTTCCTTGTAATACCCTTCTGTCTACGTCAAATACATGGGACAACAGTTTGTTTATTTCTATTTGGCATGTTCTGTTGTCTAAGTATTCAATAATGAATTGTATCAATTCTCTTAGACATCATCGTTTGTGCAATTTATAAATAAAACTACGTCTCCACAATTGAGCAAATGCTTTTGAAAAATCAATATATAAGACGAGTGCTGTGGGGTGTTGTTATAATTATGTGCTAACATTCTGGATAAATTGTGTAAATCTGGTGATAGTTGAATGTGCTGGCCGAAATCCTCACTGTTCACTAGGTATGATCATATGCTTATTGAAATCTACGTTGTTTTTTTAGAAGAACTATTGTAAGAAAGACAACAACACAGGTGTAAGAGTTAGAATCAAATAAAAAAAATTATCGTATCTTTCAACTACAAAAAACTAGATAGGTTGCAAGATGCACTCTAAGCATGTCTCGAGCTGGATCATGTTTAATTAATTTTGTGTTCATTGTAAGTTCTAAGTTGATCTTATCTAGTTTCTTATAGTCAGTTTTACATGAGAAATAGAAATAAAGCAGTTTCGAACAATAAAAACAACACTAAATATGAAAATTTTGCTTGTTTTTTGAAAAATTTCATAATATTCAACAAAATGTTGCGCGTTTGAAATATTTAAGTTGACATTTTTCGACATACTTTCATTTGATTTGAGCAAAAAAATTTTTCTGTTTTAAAAATTGTCGACACCTTATTTAAAAAAAAAAGATGGTAAAAATTCGGTGTAAAATCTCGAAATCTTTATGTTTAAAACGCCCGATAGGATAAAATTAAGAAACGAAAAAATTTGCTTTCAGATATCTGTTGTAAAAATTTACATAATTCAATAGGTCACAGAGGATTTTGCAACGATTCCTATATCTTCACGAAATACCATTGCAAAGAATTTCGAGAGATAAATGGAACACGGCTTTTTTCCACCTTTTTAAATAAAAACTTAAAAACTCCTTACATTTTCAATAAAAACAAAAAAGAATTGGTGAAGAGCATTCGAAATGATCTTATTTGCAGCTCACGAGGGAACCTCTTGAGGTTATAAATCGCTTTTGAACTCGGACTACTTGTATCTTGTAGACCTCAGTGAGTAGTGAAATACCCTAAGTTGGTTCATCCCCATGATGCTTTGTTGCTGAGATATTGAAT